AGTTTAGACCAACTTGTTTACCCTTGAGATGTACATTGAGAAAACCCCACATCCGTTCTTTATTGTCTGAAGGAATCCAACATAACTAGTAGTACTCCCTCTGTCTCACTTGAAGGTTCACATGCGGTTTATGATGTTTGACTGGCCATAAAGTAATTGATCCCTGTCAATAATAAGATTATTTTTAGTAAATAAAATTGACATATTTAGAAACTATATTAGAAATTTTATAAATTCACAAAATCAAATTCGATAAATGTTGGATGTATGAAGTAAAAGATTAAGAACAATCTACGTTGACCGTACAATAGTGGACAAGAACCTTTAGTGGGTTGTAGGTACTATATGATTAAGTCATTATGTGTATTGTGAAAGAACTTCAACTCTGATGCGTCTTTTGGTTTGTTGTGCCCTGAAGTGTTTATATGGAGGTGCACCTAAGGGTCCACAATTGCGAGACCTTGATAGAGGTGTAGATGTGGTGGTTGCTACTCCTGGCCGCTTGAATGACATTCTAGAGATGAGAAGAGTAAACCTCCGTCAGGTTTCATACCTGGTGTTGGATGAAGCAGACCGAATGTTAGATATGGGGTTTGAACCTCAGATAAAAAAGATTGTCAAGGAGGTGCCTACTAGTAGGCAAACACTCATGTACACTGCGACGTGGCCCAAAGTGGTGCGCAGAATTGCTGCTGATCTACTAGTCAAACCTGTTCAGATTAATATAGGGAAGGTTGATGAGCTTGCTGCAAACAAGTCCATCACCCAGGTTTGTATTCCTGTTAGTAATTTCCATCAGTATACATTGCACTTTCATCCTTCATATATTTTCATGCCTCTTTTTGTTAGCTTTTCAAACAAGTATGTTTGGATGGCAAACTTATTGGATACACATATTTAGTAAGCTTCTACTACCAGCATACCGCTTCTAACCTCACTTTATGTTTTATGATTGATTCAAATGTATCCCTTTGTATGCAATGCTCCGTATGATATTTCTGAATTACTTTATTGATCAATTTGAACATATCCTTTTATGCAATGCTCTGCTTGATGTTTCTAAACTAGCTTATTGATTGATTAAAAAATATCCTTTTTAGAATTAGTTTATTGATCTATTTTAAACATATCCTTCTATGTCTTAAAACTAGTTACTCGTTATTCTTCCTATTCTCCCAATATTATTAGTTACTAATTACCATTAAAGGCGCCTTATGAGTTGCCAGTAGATTGGTTTGCCATGACGATTTTGGTTGTCATCATTTTCATCACATCAATTGCATTTTCCATTTCAGTTTGTTGAGGTACTTGCACCTATGGATAAGCACAGGAGGCTTGAGCAGATATTGAGATCCCAAGAACCAGGGGCCAGGATTATAATATTCTGCGCAACAAAGAAAATGTGTGATCAACTCGCACGCAACCTAACCCGCCAATTTGAGGTGGCTGCAATTCATGGAGACAAATCTCAAGGAGAGAGGGATTATGTGCTGAATCAGTTCCGATTGGGACGATCACCTGTGCTTGTTGCCACTGATGTTGCTGCACGTGGGTTGGATGTGAAAGATATCCAGTAAGTGTGCTTTCTGAGTGAAATTGCTTTAGTTCAATCTTTTATCTATTTATTTATTAATTTATTAATATTATTGTCATTTTTTATACATATTATTATTATGTTACCAATGCTGTTTATTATTACTACCATCAGATTTTGCTTATTGTACTGTTCTTTGTTGCTCTCTTGCTTGTCAATAACCCCCCATCCTTGCTTGTTATATATAGAGTGGTGGTGAACTTTGACTTCCCGATGGGAATAGAAGATTATGTTCATAGAATTGGCAGAACAGGACGTGCTGGTGCCAGTGGACAGGCATTCACTTTCTTCAGTGACAAGGATGCAAAACATGCATCAGCTCTTGTCAAAGTACTCACTGGGGCTAACCAAAATGTCCCTGCTGAAATTCATAATATGGCATCACGTGGTGGCAATGGAATGGGCAGGCAATGGGGTTCTTCTCGCCCTAATCAACGTGGAGGTCGCTGGGGTGGTGGTGGTGGACGAGACACTGGATTTGGCAGGTACGTTTATTTTCCATTTTGTTTCATGCATGTTATTTGAAGTTTTCAAAAATTGCCATAACTGGAGCTGTATATATTTTCTATAACATGAGCAGAGGAGGTTATGGCGGTGCAAGGCGCAGTAGAAGCCCGCCTAGAAATTTCGTGTGATTTGTTAGAGTACCAGCTGGTTATGACGGATTCAAGCCATACCTGTGAACATCTCGATCGTTACCTTCTGCTGTACTCCGTATTTTTTGGCCGTATGAGGCTAGTGAGTTTGTTTTCGTGAAGCTGGTGGATTGATGTTGTGATAAGTAGTTTCTGGACTTTCGTTTACAACCATTAAATTCTCAAATTTGGATTACTGTTTATGTTAGTACACTTTTTTTCTTCGGACATACCTTGATATCTTTAGATCTTTATCTGCGTTTCAGAACAATTATATTTGCTGCTTTATTTATTAAATACATATGGGAGTGTTATTGATTGCGTAAGTATTTGAACCTGTGTTATGGTTTCGAAGAGGTTAGGGTGAAACAGTGGATAAAGCTCAGCACTTACTCGAATCTTAGGCTAATTTCTTAAGGTTAAAGTAAAACTCTAAATAATGACTATGTACTATTATTGAGATACATCTTGTTAATCATTTAGCTTTTGTATTATTTTGAAAAATAGTACTCTCTCTGCCCCCCTCTGTCCCGTTTTACTTTTTCCGTCCCATACCATGGTAATATTTTTTTAAAAATTGTGTCACACTCCTTTGTACTACCTTGGTCCCAAAAAGAATTGCAAATTTGACTTTTTTTAGTCAAACAGTCTCGTTTTGTTCACTTAATTAGGATGTCAATTTGTAATTATTTTCTAATTTGGAGTTTACAACTCTGAAGAGATTTTAATGTAGTTTTTGAATATCTAAATTTTAATTATTAAAAATTGAATTAATTATCCGTAAGGAGGGTTGATTTTTATTATTAGTTGACCAAAAAATGTTAACTTTGCAAAATAAATTGGGATAGAGGGAGTACCAAATATAGTGGGATGGAGGTAGCATTACTTTTGTTCCAATTTGATGGTATTATTTCTTATTCACTTGGTCAATATAAATCATTCTTAATTTCTTACTTTATATATCAATTTTTTGGTTTTTGAGTTTTTATAATAGCTTTTAATGTAGTTCTTAAATATGTAATTTTGTATGAAAATTATTTGAGTTTGCATTGAGATTCGTTTGCTTTATCATCGGTCAAAACTAGTAGATCACAATTAGTGTCAAACCATCAAATTGGGACGGGGAGTATTTTTTCAATGCATTTTTTGTTAGATGCTACTCAATGTAGTTTTTTACAATGTAGATTTTGTACTATGGGCATAAGGTTATAGTTGTATGTTTGGGAGAATATTTTTTAGGAAAAATTGAAAATAATAATTCCAACTATTGCGGATCCGCTGACAATAATTCCAACTATTGATTATTTTTGTACAACCTCAACTATATGGACCGTCCGCCAATAATGGTTCATGACCATATATTATCTCCTATAACAAGTGATTTTTAAATAGAAATTAAGCATAAAAATTAAAAGTTGGGATTATTTATAAGGATTACTTGCTATATCTCTTCTCATCCACTTTAAAAACTACAAGAATTTATTTATAGGGACCATTATTGACGGAAAGTCCCTATAGTTAGGATTATTATGAAATAATTGATAATTGGGATTATTACTATCAATTTTTTTTAAGGTCTTTTATCAAAATAATATGTGAGGTGTGCTTGAACACAATTGCACAACAAACTCTATAATTGTTCATTTAGATAGAGTGAGTGGCCTTAAGTGCATCTGTGCATATGATATGCTTGAACAAACTTTGGCTTGATATAAATAAAAGGGAAAGGTACAAAATGCACTATCAGTATAAGAACAAATATAACATTATTCTATTTTTTTTTTGGAACAAAAAGACACACAATAGTGTTTGTGGGTCTAATGCAACCAATGTTTTTCACGGCTTCTTGATTTTCAATGAGTTTTCCATCACTGCAGTGGAAAGAAAATCTTTTTGAACCAAGGAAGAAAGAAACTAGGAACAAAAGGAGATGACATTATTACTAAGGTAGAGCAACGAATTGGAGGCAAGTATTAGGTTATCTTTTGAATAATGGTTTTTAGTTTGCCAGTAATTTTTACTCGTATTTTATTTTCTGGAATTGATTTTGGGGTCGATTAACAATAACATCCGAGTTTTAATCCCAAAAGTTATTGGAGTCGGCTAACATGAATCAATCCATGATATCGATGCAGAAAATAGAAGACATACAAGAAGAAACAAAAAAGTAAGATAAAGTGGATAAGATAAAGATTAATAAATACTCCCTCCGTCCCCTTGTAATTGTCTCATTTTACCATTTTTGAATGTCCCTCTATTATTGTCTATTTGTCTCATACCATATTTGATAATATTTGTGTGGCTCTAATTCATTCTTACTTTATTCTCACTTTATTAACTCACTATCAACTACATAATTCTACTTTTCCTAAAAATCACACCACTTCCTTCCGTCTCAATAATAGGGGGACGGAGTTAGTATAAGATAATAATAACATGAGAATATAAGAAAGATAAAAGTAAAGAGATGAAAGATTATAAAAAATCTAGAAGATAAAAAATAACATAAGAATATAAAAAGATAAGCGATAAAAGAAAACGAGAGAGGGAAGATAGAAAAGAGACCAATCGTCCACACGAATGTGCGCCCTCCACTTTGCTCTCTACATAGCCATACTCTCATTAGGGATTGCAACGGGGCAATTCGAGGTCGGATATACCATTACCCGTACTCGCCCCGTTATTTGATTTATAATCCCTGTACCCATCCCGTTCCCTGTACCATTGCTCTGGTATTTGTCGCAGGCGTAAGTCCATTAGTCGGCGAAACAGAGCAAAATCAGGTCGGAGGCACAAATACCCGTACAGTGCTACACACGATTGGGGATAGTCGTGTCTGTTTGGGGAAGGCCTGCGTGTGACGGTGTGTGGCGGCTCGTTTTCAACGCCTTTGGTGAAGGAAAAGCTGGACAATGGAGGGCTACTCGGTGGGGATGGGAAGAGAGAAGGTTCACGCCGGAGTTCAAGGCAAAAACAGTCCATCAATGAAGAAACGGTTCAAACAGAGGTATTGATGGCCCGACCTCCTCCTGAACCGCCATTAGGGAATGAACGAGGTAATAATAAAGGAGTTTTGGTTGTTCGTCGAAGATCTCATTCAGAAAGGATCGAGAATAAAGTAGCTTGGAAAGTAGTGACAGACTCATCTAGTTTGCATGTTAATATTGTTATTATCCAGTTTAGTTTCAATTTTGAATCCTTAGTTGGTTGGATGTGTTATACTTATGAGGTGGGTAGGTATTCCTTGAGAAGTAAGATGACTTCATGTGTCAAAATAATCTTCAAATCTCTCAGATGGTTAGCGACTCGATCCGTTCTAGTTAGGGCGATCAATTTAATGTTTAACTATAGGGTGAGTGGACCTTCGGGTTATGATGAGTTTGGTAGCAGGAGACAGTTCAGTTTTGAAAAGTTTATAATGTCATTGATTTTTTTTATTTTCAAAAAAAAGTTTGTATATTGAATACTATATCAATACTAAGTTTCCATTTCTTTTTTTGGGATGTCCCAGACTCCCAGGGACCAATGTTTGTGAGGGCACGGGTGAACTACAACCCACAAATGGGTATCCCATTTAGTACCCCATTTGTCCCCCACCCTATTGGGGGCAACTCCGGATATCCCATTTACTATAGGTACCCCATTTATCCCCACTGTATTGGTGGCAACTCACTTACCTACCTGCTGTTTTGTTCTAGAGTTACAGGCGCGAAAGAAAGAAAACCGAAGAAAGACGGGGCTGAGACGAATAGGCGGAAGACCGAACACCCTGCGACCCTCTGCCGTCCACGCCGCGCGTCCAGCCGGTCTAGGAGCTACGTCGTCGGCAGACGGCCGTCCTTCCTCTCCGCCTCTCTGGGCTCTGCCTCCAGCGGACCAGCTCTGGCGCAGCGCAGGTGAGTTGTTTTACTCGTTTAGATTTTTACTCTCTTGTTTGTGATTGTGTTAAACTGTATTGGAGTATTATTTTTAGCCTCTTAGAGTGTTAGGGTTAGTCCATTAGTTAGTCAATTTGATTATTAATTGAAATTTTCAGTGCATAATAAAATAGGGAAAAAATTCATTATAAATTTATAATGATTAAAAATAGAATTAAATCTTAGATAATTAATTGATAATAGGGAATACGTTTGATTATTTTAGATTATTAGTATAACACAGCTAACAGTATTATTATTTTTAGCCTTTTAGGTTTGGGGAACATTTTGATAATAATTGAATTTTTGAGTACATATAAAATAGTGTTTAATTCATAATAAATTTGTAATGATTAAAGAAGAATTAAAGATTAGAGAATGATTTATTTATTATACAATTAAAAATTGGAGAATGATTTATTTATTGTGTGGATGTGTAAGAAAGAATTGAAAATTTCAATTAAATTTTGGAATTGGGAACAATTATTAGTTTGATGTACAACACTTGTTTTTATAGAAGTATTTTAATTCATACCAATATTGAAAATGTTTTTAGAATGGATAATGGACATATTGCCAAGATAGGAAAATTAAATGAATTTTTACTTGGTATGAAATTGAGATTAAGTTTGATTCGATAGATTTTCGGTGTTCGATTTTAACACACGATAAACATGCTCGAATGTAGATGTTTAGACTATACCCTTTAATAGATTCATGTTCTAATTATTCAATAAATACTCGAACCTTTACTAATCATTAATAAATTTATAAAATTGCACTTAAAATGTTTAAATTTTAAGATATACTCCGTATATAATTTATTCCTATAATTTGTAAGTGAACGATATGCTTCAGTTTGGATCTAACCAAAGATCACTATGTTGGAACTGGGCTTGAAAATCATTCAAACTCAAAACCTAGTATGTGTTTGAGTTCGAAGCTCGTTAAGCTCGGCTCATTAAATTAGAGGCAAAATTAAGCTCGGGCTTGAGTATATAATTCAAAAAAAGATCGATTCGATAATAGCCCTGAGCTAAACCTTGTATGTATAGTAACAATTTTTGTTACTGCTTAGCCCACCACACATCTCAATTCTGGATCCGCCCCTGGGATGTCCCATATTAAAGTTCACACTTTCATTAGAGGTAATGTTTATATGGTAAATGACATTTATATCCCCCAACTTACCCCTGATCATTTACGCCCTTCCTTAGATTTTACCCCCTTTTACTATGTGCGGTAAGGGTATAAGGGGAAAGGCAATGCAAAATAAATTCCACCCAAAAACCCGTAAAGTCAAAGTGAGTATTTAAATATGGTGCAGAGGAAGTTTATCTGAACATGTGCATTTTGAAAAAAGGCTTTTGAGATATAATTTATTGTAGTTACATATCAAATTGGGCCAGTTATAAAAAATAATAATTAATGTTGATTCAATTTGTTTGAGACTTTGAGTAGTATTCAATGATTACTTTGGAGGGAACCTTTGAATGTGGAAGGTTATCTTAGATATTAAGGTTTCAGTGTATAATTGTTTTTTTATGGTTGCTTTGTGTTGTAACAGTTTGCAAGGTAGCATGCCTGCGCCAGTGTACTGGATTTTAGATGTGACATTGAAAATCATAAACCAGAAAGAAGGATGACAGAAATGGATGGGCATATTTTTTAAAACTCTCTCCTAAGGTCCCCTCCAATAGCTGGGGTGTAACACCGTCATATTTATGTGGAAAGATAGAAAGGTATGCAGATATATTCCCTGTGAAAATTTGAGGAAATTCACAATTTGAAAATACCTTGTTCAATTCATGTTATCCTAACAAGTTAAATGACTTAATGACATATGATTACTACTATCTGTTTTGGCATGGTGAGCAACTAAAAGTTGAGGCTTTGAAACTTTGATTAGCCACATGAACTGGTAAATTGCATTTGTAGTTTGGTACATTGGCTTGGTATCAGTAGATACAGGACACCCAAATAAGATTCTGATTATTTCATTTTTTGCTCAAACTGTTTATGCTCACCCCTGCAATTCTTTTGTGATGTAAAATATCAGCATTCCGTGCTTATATCCTTGTCTTTATTTTGCATGTAATCATTTCGTGATATTTTTTGAACTTCTTTGTTTGCAATCACCAGGACAGGGTGAAGTAGAAAAGCTGAAGAGTTGCATTTTGGCCCTTTTCTATCCAACTACTATCCATTTTAGGTTGCAATTTTACTGTGGTATGAGATTTTCTGAACTCCAACTAATATATCATTTTCGTTCCTTCAAAATGAAATATGCAATCTTTACTCCAACGACAATTTTGAAAACCTGCCGATTTGAACCCATCACAACCCCCCACACCATGTGGATGATGCTATACACTCAATGTTCAAGACCCATGTCACAGTCTACCGCTATTTCGAAGAAGCAGCAGCGAGTGCGTGACCATGGCTTTGACAACTACATGGAGGTGGAGAAGAAAATACGCAAAGTCCTGAAATTCCAAGACCTAATCCTCACCCAGCCGAATTCCATGATCTCTGTTTCTCATTTGGACGTGCTGTCACGCAGGATTGGGTTCAAACAACATGAAGTAGCAAAATTCATTCTCAAATTCCCCCACATTTTTGAGATATTTGAACACCCAGTTCAGAGGATTCTCTATTGCAGGTAGGGTTAACATATTAATCTAGATATATTTCATTTAAATTTGGCTATTATTGAGTATTCATATTCGTTTGTTTTGAATCTAAAGATCAATAATGTATTTGGTTCGACTATATTATTTTGGAAAAATTGACAAGAATAATCCCACCAATAATCCCACCTTTCACTGGTCTTCTCATAATAATACCACCTTTAAATAGTTCCAAAATAATCCCACTTTTGCACCTCATCTTCTTTCATTGGACCCTGACCATGTTTTTTACTCTTTCTTTGAAAATTATACAAATAATCTCACCTTTCACCTTTTAATTATATCCTTATAAATGTGAGATTATTTATATAAGATTTTTAAAAATGGTAAGAAAACTTGGTCAGGGTCCAATGAAAGAAGATGAGGTGCAAATGTTGGATTATTTAAAGGTGGGATTATTATGAGAAGACCGGTGGGATTATTCTTGTCAATTTTTCCTATTATTTTTATTTTACTCAAATATTCTGATATTCATATTCGAAATGCTTATACATAAATACACACAAATGTCAATCAGGATATCTGGATGTGTTGGTCATACACATATACTTGTGCGTGTGTGCGTCGTGCGTGCATGTATCTACGTATCGTGCATATATTAAATTATATATACATACACACACACACACATGGCATTTGAAATTTAGTTATTATTCAAATAAGTCAATGCAAACCTGTTGGTGTTATTAAAACTATTCAAATCAATGTGTGTAGGTGTGGATGTATTTATTTACACATACACAGTATTATAATTTCAAATTTGTTTTCGAGTTCATGGAATTTCAATTGTTGAGTTTTTTGAATCAGGAATGGAACAGACAGTCAAATAAAAATTGATTAACTGTTACAAAAAATTGTAGGTTCGCTCGAAAGGCTCAGTTGCAGATGTGTCAAGAAAACGAAGCCCTTTTGGCTCAAATCCCAGATGCCATCACCAGGCTAAGAAAGCTTCTGATGCTCTCAAACACGGGTCGACTCCGGCTGGAGCATGTTCGAATTGCCCGGAGAGAGTTTGGGCTGCCCGACGATTTCGAGTACTCGGTAATTCTGAAGCACCCTGAGTACTTCAGATTGTTTGATGGCACATGAGAGAGTAGACACAAGTACATTGAGATTGTAGAGAGAGACCCAAAACTGGGGGTGTGCTGTATTGAGAAAGCAAGGGAGAAAGAGTATAGAGAGAAGGGCGGGGAGGCTGAGAATATATGGTTCTCGTTCATTGTGAATTTCCCTCCTGGTTTCAAGATTGGGAAGTACTACAGGATTGCAGTGTGGAAGTGGCAGAGATTGCCTTATTGGTCTCCGTATGAGGATGTCTCGGGGTATGATTGTAGATCTCTTGAAGCGCAGAAGAGGATGGAGAAGCGGGCAGTTGCCACCATTCATGAGCTCTTGTGGTTGACTGTTGAAAAGAAGATAACTTTAGGGAGGATTGCACATTTCAGGATGGCCATGGCATTGCCAAAGAAGCCCAAAGACTTCCTCCTTCAGCACCAGGGCATATTTTACATCTCCACGCGAGGGAACCATTGGAAACTGCACACTGTGTTTCTCAGAGAGGCTTATAAGAGAGGAGAGTTGGTTGAACCCAACGGTCTATATTCGGCAAGGAGGAAGCTGGCTGAGCTGGTACTGTTGAGTCCTAGGAAAGCACCCAAAGTAGTGGATCATGAATTGGTCAGTAGTTATGGTTGGAGAGACGATGTCGAAGCAGCAGCTTATGTTCGAAGGGAGGACGTTGAGAATGACAGTGTCACAACAACGCGTGGTGTTGATATGAGAAATGCTGGTTCCAGTTTAGTCGATGAATCTGCCGATGACATGGATCCCTTAGGCTCTGTTAGTGATGATGATGATGATGATGATGATGACGACGACGACGATGATGATGTTAGTGATGATGACGATGATGATGTTAGTGACGATGATGATGTTAGTGATGATGACGATGATGATGTTAGTGATGATGACGATGATGATGTTAGTGATGATGATGATGATGTTAGTGATGATGATATGGTGATGGTGATGATGATGATGATACTAGTTGTAACGGGGTTGAATAGTTAACCAAGAACTGACTTAGATACCAACATGATGATCATTTAATCAATCAATAAATTACTTAATTAAGGCCTTTTTCCATATTTTTAAGAGTTGACTGGGGATGCGAGTTCAAAAAACATTTCAGCTGTCATTTCAACGTACAACAAGATACTCCGTATTTGTATGTGATTGAGTGATGATAAATGAGTAGGATTGGGCTGTAAGGCTTCCCGCAACCCGGACGGAGAATACCCAAATTTAATGTTTTCATTCTCAAATACTCCTTCCGTCTCATAATTATCTTCATTCTTTCCTTTTTGGTCTGTCCCAAATTTATCTCCTCTTTCCTTTTTAGTAAAGGATTTGTGGTTCACAACCATTCTTACACATTTCTCTCTCCTCTGCACAATTCTTCACCACACATTTCTCATTTTCTTAATCTCCGTGCCCAGTCAAAACTGAGGTTAATTCTGGGACGGAGGGAGTATGTTGCAACCCATGTATTTTATGGGCGGGAAATTGGATGGATGGCACTTATTCAGTGGGAATTTGTAGGGTTATTCACGTGAGAGTTGAGTTGCTAGCCTGAGAATTGAGGTGTGGGCCTAAAATGATTAAAAATCCCAAATTTGTTTAATGTGTTTTAATATTTTTATTTGTACTTTATTTTTTATAACAAAAAATATCGAAATTTTTAACTTTTCATGATCTTTCAAATGACATCAATATTGTATATATAAAGAAAAAATTAAAAATTATGAAGTTTCATCTGCTGAAGATTTGCTTTTGAAAAGTCTGCTGGAGATTTTTATGTTCAACAATTTGGTTAAATTGAAGTGCTAAAATTAAGATTTTATGGTGAAAATACATGTTTACATCTTTCATTTAAAAAAAAAACAGATCTAAATTAACATCAATAAAATTACTCCAAAATTATTTATTTTGACATCGGAATGTTTGACTTTTAAAGTTATAATTATTCACCAAACAAATATTTGGCAAAAAATGACTCAAAATTATAAAAGGAAGGCTTTAATAAAAAAAAACTTTGTTGGATGATTATATTGACGATACTGGATTGCAGTAAAAACTGAATTGACGGAGTGAATATGTATAAACTGGTGGAATATTTGATTTATTGACGGAATTGGGTTGCGGTTAGCCTAATTAAATCAATAAGCCAAACAAAAAATGACCGATTGAAGTGGTCCAATTTTTAAAGTTGTGCACTTTAAGATTGAGAGTCTATTTGGTAGCAGGAAAATCGACTGATTTGGTTGATTCTGCTGAAATTTATGAAGTTCTGGCTGAAATGGCTGTATTGGCTGATTCTACTGATTTAAGAAAAAATTATTTTTAAAATATATTTTATTAATAAAATAAAGAAAAAATTATATGTAAAAAGAGCTAAAATGGTCATTTACAGTAACTTCAACCAATACAATCAGAAAAGTAATTCCAACCTTACTTTTTCTACTTATTATACAATTCAGCGTGCAAAACCAAAACTTATGTGTTTGGTAAAAAAGTTGATTGATAAGCCTAGGGGTGAGCATTCGGTCGGTCGGTCAAATAACCGACCGATAACCGAATAACCGACCAAGTTTTTCCACACTAATAACCGACCGAAAACCGACCGACAACATCACTATAACCGACCGAAAAACGTAGTTCGGTTTCGGTCGGTAACCGAATAACCGACAATAACCGACCATATAAATTTTTTAAACAAAATTTTTTCAAAATTTTGAATGCTTTAAATAAACATATTAGAAAAAACATTTGATACAAAAATGGTTGAAAATAATTGATTTTTTACACTACAAAACAAAATGAATGAAAAAAATTGATCGTATATAAAATATTTCTCTCTATTCATGAAATAAATAAGAAGAAATGAATTAAATTACCTCATAATAAAATTAGTTTTCTTATGATGCTGGTAGCTTTTCTTGTGCATGAGTGTCATTTTATCTCTTTTGAGTCAACCACTAAATACTAAGTACATGAAATTTATTAAAGTAAACTTAAATATGGAGTTTTTTACATAAATATTACCAAAAGTATTTGAGGTTACAAAAAATTGCCTATGAACAAGGCAACACGTTCAAGAGCATGAGAGTAAAAAAAGACAAAAGGTCATATTTTAGTTAGTGGGGTTAAAAGTAGTTATATTTGTGTAATTTTTTCTTAAAATTATAATTATAGTCATTAAAGTATGAAAATACATATTTGTATCCACAATATTCAATTTGGTCATATATTTGACATTATTTCTTAAACTAATTATGATATATTATTAAGTGAAACATCATAGCATAAAAGAAGTACATGGAAATGTTTATATGGAGTAGAATATACTTCAGTTTTCGGTTAACCGACTGATAACCGATCCAAATAACCGACCGTTAACCGAATAACCGAATAATCGACTTCTTTTAATAAGTAATAACCGATGACCGACCGATAACCGAATTTTTCGTCGGTTCGGCTATCGGTTTTCGGTTTTGTCGGTTTTGTCGGTTTTTTGTTCACCCCTAGATAAGCCGAAAAACAGTGGTTCCAGTCTAGGACTTAGGGGTGTATCAGGTCAGCTGGTCCTGATTGGCCCGGAACTGGGTCTGGCACTGTTTAGGACTAGCTCGGGATAAGTTTCCTATCCTTGTCCAGGAGTGGCTTTGCTGTCCTCAGTTTATGTTACCGGATCCTGGGTGTGTCTTTTTGGGACTCGAATAGGCCGGTCTTGGGTCCAGTCTAGCTAGAGTCTTGCCCAAATGGTCGCTTTTTTAGTTTCTTTTGTAGTTGTAATTTAGCTGTTGGAGGAGCCCTCGAAGAACTAATTGATGGTTTGGTTGGGAGAGCTTCAAACAAAAATTTATGAAAACCCATTCATTTTAAAATAAGAATTCCCACACCTTCATTACTCATTCTCTCTTCACATAATCCCCTACTATATTCTCTACTCATACAATCTTTATTTTTGCTTTTATATTTAATATATTCATACACACACAGACGCACACATAGAGAGAACTTGTCTCATGCGTAGGGAGGCTTAGATCACCTGGTAGGAAGGGAGTGCCATAAGGGAGAGGTCCCGGGTTCAACTCCAAGCAATAACTTGAGATGGAACCTCTCTTTCCATTAAAGTGAGATCAAAACTCAATTTGCATCCTTCAAGCTAGCTGTTCGGTCGGTGCTGGGGGCTCCTCAGGGATGGTGTGTCATCCTTTTAGAACTTGTCTCGTGCGAATCGTCTGAAGGGAACTCTTGTACAACAAATGCCATTTGGGGCCATCCTGATGGAACTGTTTGATGATTTTTTAAGCATTTTTTTCATGTGGTTTAGATTATGTCCAATTGTCCACTATATTAAAACTTAAAATTCAATCCGGAAAACAATTAAATAAATTATTAAACATAATGTGTTTTGAATATGTATAAAAATGCAGAATGTTTTAGAATTTATTTAAGAGATATTACCCGAAATAGGACTAAAAGGGTTTTAAAATTCCAAAATAGGACTGCTATGTTTTTATTCCCAAAGTAGGACTAGTTACTTCCATGTTTTGGCAGTATCAGACTTCAAACATGACAGTATTTTCCAAACTTGGCAGTAATTACTCCTATTTTGAGAATAAAAACATGTAAGTCCTATTTTGGATTTTTCAAACTGTTTTAGTCCTATTTCGGGAACTTTCCTTTTATTTAACTGTCTTTCTGGTTGAATTCTAAGTTAAAATTCGGTAGACATAATTTGAACTTCATTAAAAGCATGTTCAAAAAATTCATCAAAGAAATTTTACCGTTAAGGGTCCAAAATGGCCTTGGACGTACGAGAGTTCCCGTGAGGCCATTCACACGGATCATCTCTCTCTCTCTCTCTCTCTCTCTCTCTCAAAAGCCCTCCAAAACTTTCCTTTCCATATTTTTTAAGTTCCAAACATGAAATGGAGTGTCATAAACCCCTGTCAACCTTCTCATCCCCTCCACAATTCAACTCCCAAACATACCCTTAGGGGAGGATTTAAAGGTTAGGCATGAGAGGGTAAGGAAGTGGAAGTGAAAGAAAATCTTGTTTTCGTTGGGAGTTATGAATTGGGAAGAGGGGGCTACGGAAAATTATAATTAAAACCACTTAAGATATACTTCGAATTCAAATAGTTGAACTTGCATTCATTTTAAATTAAGCTAAAATTATAATTTATTTCATTATCATTTAAAAATTCCTAATGAGAAACTTAAAAATTGAAATGGTTATAAAAGTCTTCTAAAACCATTCCCTCCAACCTATGTAGCACCGATACGGAAACGCGGAAACGCGGAAACGTGGAAACGGGTACGGGGATACGTCAAAACCAAAAAAAGTAGGATACGGATATGGGGCCATATTTATAAATATTAAAAGTTATGGGGGTGTATTTACAAATATTAAAAGTTATAGTGGTCTATTTATAAATATTTAAAATAGATTTTTTTTGAAAATATATATATATATATATATATATATATATATATATATATATATATATATATATATATATATATATATATATGTATACATATAATATCCTATGATGTCTACCCATTCATTGCATTGAAGCATTTTTCTTTTTCAAGATACTTGCTAATAAATTCATAATATTTCTCATATATACTAGTGAATCTCGAAATATAAATGTAATCAATAAGTCATTAATTTAAAACGAGAAATAAGTCAAACAACTACAATCTTGAAATTAAAAGTGCAAGTACCCTCTTCAGAGTATGAGTTAATGACTTAATTCGGATATAGCCATATAGGCTCATTATTTGATTACCAAGTAAAATATAATGTAGTTTTAGATTTTTATTTTTTTAGAATTTTATTAAAGTAAATTTTGGGATTTTTTTTAAAAGTTGGTACGGGTATCCGTCAGGATACGAGTATCGGGAACTTTCAAAAAGTTACAAAAAAAATGGAAACTTTTAAGAATTGCAGATACGGCCCAGGAACGTATTTACGTACGGTACGGGTATCCTAGAGTATCGGATACGGGAACGTATCCGATACGTCGATACGCTACCCTGGTCCCTAGAGAAGTATCCGTGCTTAGCCTCCAACTTTTTAAACTCTCAAATAGTAGTAAAGGCTAGGCATGTGATCAACCCCCATGTGCCTGGCTCTCGCTCTTTCCCTCCAAAAATCAACACCCATACGCTCCGTTTGGGAGTAAATGTTGTAATTAAAATCTGTTCACCAAATGCGACATTTATTCGTAAACTAGACGAATACTAATGTTATTTGAAATACAACTACTCTTCTTTATAGAAAGTTTTG